ATTTATCTGTATTTCAAACCGTCCCTAAGTTTGAACTGGTACACAAGAGGGAAGGCAGTTAGTCAACAGTACCCGCTATTTCTTGGGATATTCTAATCGAACTGTAGGATTTGTTCAACACTTTCTTAATGCATCAACAGCCCCAAAAGGCTAAGTGCTATTTGTTTTTCGGCAACGAGGCGCGAACCACTGATTGCCCTTCTGATCCAAAATCCAGCGCGTTAACCACTGGGATAAGCCCAGTTACATTTTTTTCTGCACACTCATGATTCCGAAGTCACGTTTGATCTTGTTCTGTATAAACATGCTTGTTTTTGTCCATTTTAATAGTATCTTGAATCACTTGAAAGACCATGAATTAACACAGGTAGTTGGTTTTGTTGTTGAGCACAAACCTACAAAATGGGCTGTTTGTGCTCTGCCCATTATGGTACCATAATATAGTATCGAAACACGATTTTGTGTTATAAGCCCCCTCAGACTTACCACTGAGCCATCTAGAAGGAAGACAGTTGATTTTATTTCATTTAACACACTGTATACTCAAATATCGTCATAGTTTAAACCCGGACTATCGTAAAAAACTTGCTGCTCAGACAGTACAATTACATCTATACTAAAAATGTGACACGATACCATGTGATACTATAACACGAAACTCTACGATATATATTTTAAATAAATGAATCAATTCTAAAAACGTAAGAGTGAAGTAAGTAAAAATGTATGAAAATGTTTCAACCACACTATCTGTTATTTTCAGTGCCGACGAGGCTTTTCGCACAATACCAGGGCTCATCAGGCCGGAGATGGGATACGACAGCGACAATAGTGGTTATAACAATACAGATAACTAAAACAGGGAAAACAAGTTTACAGAATACTAAAGATAGCAGAAAAACAAATTAAGTACTTTACCATTAACCCCTTGATAACGATTAAAAAAAAGCTAAATCTTTTAACAATTAGCAGGTATACGAGTATAACAGACACATGTCTTTAACTTCATTTCCCATATCTCGAATAGCGGGACGTAAAAAACGACTTCTAAGCACCTATATTTTTCTCCCAAATTGTAGGTAAAGGATTTAATAAGAACGTTCTGGTAAAAGGAGCTAAAAGACTCTTATACTTCCTCAGTATATGTTGTAAAATCTTAAAGTTGACACACATTCGACCTAACAGAAATCTAAAGTTGACTCAAGTTTTCACAAAAGTAATGTAAAACTCTACTATTTGTATAATTTATTGATAATTTATTAAGGCTGTGGGAAGAACAAACTATGGCGGGGGCAGCATGTTAGCGCTGGTCGAGCAGGATCCTCACTGGTCCCAGTGGCGACGGCGGTCCCGCAACTATAAGAAATAACGTTTTTTATTATTTTACACAAGTCTCTGTAGAAATTAGTTGATCTGAACAGCGATTCCATTTTTAACCACTATAGTTTAGTACGTCTAAAAACGTGCAAGTGAGCAGTGCCGCGTTAAGGCACACTGGTTGGCCCTGGGCGAAGTATAAACTAGTGCCCCCGTTTACCTTTACATACAATTTGATAAGCTAGATTTATTGGTGATGAAAAATAAAGAAATAAAAAAGAAAAAGATATATTTAAAAAACTGGTTTATTATTATTTTATTGTACACTTCATATTTTTATTACTATTATTATTATACTCGCAACACACGGTGGGTCCCGGGCAGCTGCCCTTTTTTGCTATTTCGATAAAACGGTCCTGTTAGTGAAAGCAAAGAAGAATATGAAATATGTCAACACACTATCTGCCATATCCAGTGCCGACGAGGCCTTTCGCTCAATACCAAGTCTAATTAAGCTTGCTATATACGACAAACACAGAGTGGCTTAGGATATCCATATAATCAATTGCATGAATAATAAATGCAATGGTGTGAAATATATTAGTGTTATTAACGTGCAAACTCTTTGAATGGGTTTTTTACTCTGTATTTTTTTTTTTTTCTAAAACTGTTAGGAAGCGAAAGTTCATACTTTTCATGTGTTTCAGATTTTGTACTATTTGCTCAGTATGACTACAGCCAGTCGTGTAAATAAACTCGCACTACAATATTCATTTAGAAGACTATAATTTTTCACTCGGGAGTGAATCTTCGAAATAAACTTTCTTGCCAGTATGTGTGCTTACTTTTCAGCAAAGTCATTAAGAGTAGCATGTGTAGATGTATAAGAACAAAAGTTGTTTATGAAACTATGTCTCTACCATCGCATATCGTTACTAATGAAGTGAAAGTCTTGACAAGAATGTGCATCACGGGAACGTAAAACGCATTAAAAAACATGAGCATCTTGTATGGCGTTTTCGACATCTTGTTAGAAGTCTTCCAAGAAACAACCAGGCAGATTTCTTATGTCTGTTTCAAGAAACAGCGTCAGGTAGTTTGAATACGGTAATATGAAATGAGTAAAAGTGACAAGAAAATAACAGGGGAATAGAGAAGATGCACCGTGTGCGTATTTTTTTTTTATATACTCTGAAAGAAAAGTTCAAATCAAAAACTGAATAGACTTATATTTGAAAGAGTTTTACAAACAAAATGAAATAACGTACATTGGTTTCTATGTTGTCAGCTCTTACGCGCCACGAACTTTAATCAAATCTCTGATAAAAAAGTCTTGTGTACGTTGAGTAAATGGTTAAAAAAAGGTCCACGTAAGCTATTTAGTTTACGTCATACCTAGATAGATCATGTTGACTTTTTTAACTACTAGTCCCTAAGATTTTTAAATATAAAATACTTGAAACATATACTTCAAAAATAAACAAAACAGAACAAGGTGAAATCTTTAAAATAAATACAAAATCGAGTAGATATTCCTATATTATCGATAGTATTTATGGTAAAATGTATGTCCAGTAAAAAGATAATGTAATACTTCTTCACAACATTTTCCTAAAACTATACATCCGTATTATTATAGTTTTGGTTATTTTTTTATCATTACAGTAGTATAAGTTTTGTTTGAACAACAGTTAACAAAATATCTCTACCAGGTATATTCAATTGGTTCCTCCCTAGTGTAAGAAAATAAGATTATAAAATACAGAGAGCAGAGTGTTACATTAAAACGATTTCGAAAACCCATCCCGTCATGTTCTGTTTAACGACTATTCATCTTGACAATAACCCTACAGCGTAGTTTCCATTGCATATGACCTCGTCGTAGAGCTTTCATGTCCATGGTACCTCACTGTTAATCTTCCATAATACATCTATAGTAGGTGGACGATGGTTTTCTATCGCTCGTTTAAACAGTCGGATCGCAGAGAAATTCAAAGGCTTTGCGCCTGCTGACTCAACCGGTATGTCTTCGTATAGAAGAGCATGCATACTCATTTCATTTTACAAGTGTTTGAAGAATGAGTTGAAGCCTAATCTTAGTGAACGCATATCCTGGCCTCGTTTTCTGAAGGAGGTCCTTCTTCATTATGTTGTGTACTGTTGCACTGGACACGTGGACGGCTTTTGTCACTGACGTTTGTGTTCATGGACTTTCATCTATGACACGACGTCGCATTTTCTTTATCATGGCTGGGATACGATTTGTTGCAATTTGTTTTGGGGGAGGGCGGTTCTGGTGCACCACGTTGATCCATACTCCTTTGTTTTCTAACGCAATTAAATATAAGGAATTCTAAATCCCTGATCTGAATACATCTTTATGATCTGAGTGTATGAATATTTTGCGTCAGAAATGGCTGTTACATACCCTTCCAAAAAAAAAGCGACCAGTCTTCGGTAGCACCACACTAACTAGATAAAGCCACATAATGTCGAAATGTAGGTGTGATATATGCCATTCCACCGCGACTTTATATCATCCGTAGTTTCACATGGTTTACTGATTTGAATTCAAAACCTTTTTAATATAACACACTCAACCATGTACAATACATTTAACCGAAACGGTACAATGTAAAGAAAATGAATACTTAAACAGTCAAGCAAAATAAAATCAAAAGGATGGACTGCGTTAAAAACAGCAAATCCAAACCGGTGATAAATGACATTTAAATGAACAAAACAAACTCAACAGATAAACAATTAAATTAAATACGCTGCATAAATCAAAAGGATCCCCAGGTTACATGCTATAATGTGGGATATAAAATGTGCCCCGGATTTTGAAGGTGACTACGGAAGTAGGACACACATTGCTATGGGAATACACAGGCTACTAGTCTTAACCATGAATGTGTGTACTGTTTCCGCAGTTACCTCCAAAACACAGGGCACATTTTAGATCCAACACATTTAGCCTGTACCCTGGGGATCCATTTGATTTATGCAGCGTCTTTAATTTAATTCTGTTTGTTGTTCTTTATGTCCTATATATTATGTGCGTAAAACAAAAACAGCTCACAAAACATCTTAATAGACAATTGTCCTTTTTTTCGTAAAAACATAAGACACAAGCCAAACGGAAAACATCGAATACAGAACAACAGGGAAAACAAAAACCGTTTGCAACAATAGAAAATAACAGAACTTTGTAAGTTAGGAATGTCAACTAAAAAGAACAAGAATACTGAATGACAAAATGTAAATAACGTATCTTTTGTACAAACAAGAACACTATAAGGATAATAATGTAAGTAATGTACTTTGAAACAAAGAGGGAAACTGATAGGTAAAAGCTTACGTAATGTATTAAAAACAGGAACACTGTAAAATAGAAATGTAGGTAATTTAGTATTAGTATGTTTATTTATAGCAAAGCTAAACAAATTCCCCCCTCACTACAGTTTGACTTACCCGACACAACAATGGCACTCATATTTTAAATATTTAAATGTGCAATACACATATTCAATCAGATTCCCTTTTAGAATTATCTTGAATTTATTCACAGCAGTATAATCTAGAGAAAACAATGTCCATCGTATAGAATATTAACCAATTTGATAATTAAAGTTATGAAACAATTTTGCACAGATGAAAAAAAAGTACTTGTGATTACTGACCTGCTTTATTTCCCTGTTTGATGCTGGTGTTAGGACATCATTAATAAAAATTAATTCATGATGTCGGATTGTTTCTTTTGTACCACTAATTCCAGTTCGAGTGCCACAGAAGCTACATCGAGAAACGTCGGTAGATGTCGTTATTTGAGCATCTAAAGACCTAGGAATGAGAATCGAGGATTGTGCCGATCCAGCGCCCTCTATGGAATCCTCAAGAACAATTCTGGCATTGTTATTGTCACAGCTGCTGGGAGAATCATTACTGCTCTCGTAGTCAGATGTTATATTCACTCGCCGGACAAACGGCAATGGTGGCAAAGGACTGGTTGGCAAGCGGTCGTACGATTCATCTTCTGCGCTCTGGACAACTTGACCACTGTGGCTGTTTAAATTATCTACTGCATCGTGGCTTATATGTTCTTTGTCATTTTCAACGCCGAGAATATCAGTACCTGCAGGAGAAATAGGACATGGGCTGCAAACGGCCTTTCGTTCGGTTTTGGCTTGTTTTTCCAAGCAGGATGCAGCACAGACAGGAATAGATGTTGTAGAATACGAACGGGCTTTATTGGGGAAAGATGACGCTGCTGTAGAGTCTAAAACCTGGCTAGGACTTTAGAGAATAAATATATTAAATACTGCTTAGAATATAATAAATTTGAAAATGAGATACACATATGTATCAAAACCATAAGTGTAACATATAAAATATTTAATGTGCTATCAGATAAATATTATGATTCAGTTTGTGGCTGAAATTGTACAAGCAAAATAATTTATATTTTTCTCAGTTCATCTGTTTTTGTAAGAGCATTACATGAATAAAATCTCTTTAGACTGCTAAATAAATTATAGCAGACGATCTGAAAATTTTCATTCAAAATAAAATAATAATTTAATATATTATTTATTTATTTATTTATTAGAAGTTAATCTTCAGTTATAAATTTTCTCGAAAAAATAACTTTTGTTGGTGACAATACAATAAAAATGCCTTACAACCCCCCCCCCCTATAAAATTTCCAAAATCATTCTAAAATGATAAACATAGAACTTCAAGATGGATAGTAAAGCACGTTGAAATGTAACGTTAGGATGAAATATTATATTAATTGAATTTGTAAATTTGTTTGTTCGCAGACTCTGGTCACAGTTTTTGGAGTTGGCAGGACCACGTTTGGTAGGCTCGTTATCTATCAGGTGTTACCCCCTATAAAATTTGTTGATAAAATGCACCCGGAAAGTCAACAAGGTATGACGTGGTTCTAAGAGTATGTTTTCAGGGCCACTGAACCCGAAACTGGCTTCGAGGGGACCATATTTCAATGTGTGTTCATATCATACATATTCTACAACACTATAACATTATAGGATACCTATGGTTTATACCCGTACTCTCAAGCTAGCGGAACCAAACATGGCAGTCACGTTCAGTTACAACAAACGGGTTCCTAATGGAATTTGTTTTCGGATAGCTATAGAATTGAGGATAATGGAAGTTTTTGTACACTGGAGCCTCAAATAGCTAGTGGTTATCATCAAACATTAGTGTGTTATTACTTTTTCTACGTCCACAGTTAGTTTTGATTTAGTCCTTTTTTTACCTAATTTTGTCTTTAGGTTAGAAAAATGTTAAGATTTTTCCCGTTGATGATACTTTAAAACTAAACATTATATAATATACCTGTAATATTTAAAGAAAGATCTCAAAAGCAAAAACTAATATACAAAGATAAATTCTAACCGTTATGCATTACCGGTAAATGATTTTATAGGCGCTACTGAGAACCGACATAAAATATTACTTGGCAACTTTTTACTTATCAAATACATTTCTAGAGTATAATTTTAACAATAGTTACTATGTTATTAAACGACTTGGAGTAGAGGTACTGATATAAAGTTCTCCAGAATTCACCCTTGCGTAATCACGTATAACACTAACAGTAATGAGAAAATAAATTTTAGTATATCTCAAAAATCAACGAAGAGAAAAATAAAATTTCAATTTCACGTGAAAGAAATTAAAAATGATTCACGGTTAGTTTTGCTAACTTTCGAAAAATCCGCAAAAATTGTTTTTTTATTTTATATTATTACTGTCATAAGGTCACGACGCAGAAGAAGCGAACGAAATAGTTTATTCTACAGTTGTCATGGGATAGAAGTCAATATCTGATGCTAATTTAGTTTTGCTTTGAAAGAAATCAAACTTATGACACTAACAATATCAAAATTAATGATTGGTGTACGAAAATAATAAAAAAAGTTTAGAATATAAGAGCATCATTAAACGAAACCCGAGCTAAAATCTACATAAAGCTAAGTTATAGTTAATACTTAAAAAAACTAAGTTAGTTTTTCAAATTATATTTAGATGCGAGTTCAGATAGATTGCACCCGAAAAAAAATGATTTTTCAGATCCTGTAGCGTTTATAAGGTTAGAAGATGCTTTAAAAAAAATCTAAAAGCTGTACTCTTATTTCAATGTGAAATCTGCTAGTACCTTATCAAATCAACAACGTTAGTTGGTGAAACTAGGGAAGAGTTACGAAAATATCATTGTTTCAGTTACATCATTTCATAGACTAGCATGTGTAAATACATATGAAGCTTCTCGAATGTAACTGAAACAATATTTTCGTAACTCTTCCTTATTTTCACCCATTCACATTGTTGGTAACTGAAACAATAATATGCTCGTAACTCTTCCCTAGTTTAACCCATTCGCATTGTTGGTTGGTAAAGTACCAGCAGACTTCACATGAAGTTGCCTGTAGTATCACATAAGGGTATGTTGATGTCATACCAATCCCCTTACACGACATTAAAATATAACAATTGGATTCAAAGCTCACGTTATACCGGGAAAGCAAAATGCATTGCTCTCGAACCAAAATATTTGATAGCAGCACAGGATTTGTTTGTTTATTTTCAATTGCACGCGAAACTACTCGAGGGCTATCCGTCCTAGTCGTCTTAGTCAACACTACTCACCGCCAGCCTTTAGACTAGTTTTAATTAACAGTCACATAATAACGTCCCCACGGCTGAAAGGGCAAGTATGTTTAAGGATAGAATTCGAATCCGCGACCCTCACATTGTGAGTCAAGTGCCAGGTTCTGCCAGGCTGCGCAAAAAAAAGAAAAAGAAAGAATCAGATGGACAGTTGCCACCGCTTCTATCAATGATCACAATTAATGTTCCAGATGAACGTAGAATATTTCTTTGTTTAGTTAAAGATAGCTGTTTCTCACACGTGGTGGATCTTTTACTGTTCGAAAAATTCACATTAAATTCACAACCGCAGTAGTTGAAATAATATACACGATACTTTCTTTTGGCCTATCCTGTACCTGATAGATTATATTTACTCACCTAATTGATCGAACCGATCTTCCACGGACGAATGAATTCTCTGACACAGCGCCCCCTAGTCCTGTTGACACTTGACTATTAGAGTCCACAGGAAATCGAAAACTGGTACTACGTTTGCGGTTGGGTTCGGGTTCGAGGGTAGGCATGCCGGTAGCAGAAGTTGTAGTGGTCCATGTACTTGTTGACATTCGGCGAAGTAGACTAGGAGGCAGATTTTTTCGTAACCGCTATAAAGGATTCAGTGTTTAGATAATTCCTTCCCATAAGTATGTTTACTAATCTGTTGTAATGCAGGAATTAAGGAAGTTTGAAGAAGAAGAAGAAAAAAAAAGGCGATTTGATGTTAATTGTGTTGTATCAGCTACGAACGTTTCCAATTTTGCATTTCATTTCAGAATTTTCTTTTCAACAGTTATTTTTATTTTCATAATTCCACTTTCAGTTAATTTTAGCGACCAGCTAGACATACACGTATTTCCCCATTATGAAATCCTATTTGTTTCCTTATAGCTCCAAATGTGGAAGACGATTAACATATAAAGTAGAACTGGGCTTAGTATCTGCTTCAAGACTGAACTTTTGTTTGTTTGTTTGTTTGTTCATGCGTTACTTACGCTACAAGCTAAGTTAGTCGAAATAAAATGCACTGGGAAGAAACACTCATGAGGGATTGAAACAAAGTAAAATATATAATGCTTGTAATATTTCACCAGTTCGGTCTTCCATTACAACGAAACGACTACCGTTGTAATATGATGTTAATGAGAAGACTTATTTTGCAAAATACAACCGATAATTTGAAATGTCCTCTTGACGTATTCGCAAAGCAGACCTCATTAACAAATAAGAACACTCGCAGACAAAAAAAAACAAATTCAACTAAAATTTTCTTTTAATGTTCCTTTTCACGTATACTACTTGTTAAGGATCTAAGGTGGATATACTGTCTATGCATGACAAAAATCTGAAAGAAGAGGTTTGTTTGTAATTAAGCACAAAGCTACACAATGGGCTATATGTGCTCTTCCCACCACGGGTATCGAAATCCGGATTCTAGCGTTGTAAGTCCGCAGACATACCGCTGTGCCACTGGGGGGCCTGAAAAAAGGTTCAGATTTTTAGTTATTATTATTCGAATATATGTTGTTTGAGAATTTATATTAGAAACAGGGAAAGAATGACAAAGTGTGAAAACACTTCAAATTTGTTTAATGTGACGCAACACATTAAAAACCACACACACACACACAATATGTATATATTTATTATATATATATATGTGTGTGTGTGTGTGTGTGTGTGTGTGTGTGTGTGCGTAGTT